TATTCAAGCGTGGGGCTGAGAGGGGACATGGAAACTAGATCAATGGAAAGGGAACAATCAGAATAGAAATAATGAGACTGTTGACATATTGTGAAAAATGTAATCAAAGTCACTGGACAAGCGTACAAACGCTCGCTGTTGAGTTGGTTCTGACTGAAGGCGACCCTACAGGATGGAGTACAACTGGCCCACAGGGTTTCCAAGGCTGCAAGTCTTTACAGATGCAGACTGCCACATCTTTCGCCTGTGGAATAGCTGGTGGGTTTGAATCTGTGACTTTTCAGTTAGCTACTGAGCACTTTAACCACTGCGCCACCAGGGCTCTTTAACAATATGCACAGAAATTATCAAATAAGAACCTAATTTGCTGTGTAAATTCACCAAAAACCAATGCCTTAGTTATCATGCGCTGCTGTAACAGATATGCTACAAATGGGTGCCTTGAACAAACGAGTTTATTTTTCTCACAGTTCAGCAGGCTGTCGTTGTTGTTTGTTATGTGCTGTCGGACTCATAGCGACCCCTCCTTGGGTTTTCGAGGCAGCATTACCTTCCTTCGGAGGAATGGCTGGTGAGTTTGAACCGCCAGCCTTCTGGTTAGCAGTCAAGTGCCTTAGGCACTGTGCTACCAGAACTGTCCTATAGGCTCCAGGCACTCTGGCCACCTTGATGATGCCAGACAGTCAGGACCACTCTCATCTCACCGTCTTTCCACTCACCGTCCCCGAGTATCTTTACGTGGGTCACTTTCTCACTTCGGTTTTGGCCTCTGCTCAAATGTCACCTCTTCACAGCAGCCTTTCCCGACCACCTGATGCACCACGTACTTCTGTCACTCCCAATCCCCTTACTGATTTCCCTTTCCAAGCTTCGTTTCCCTGATGTCATATTCTATCTTGTTGTTAGCCCCCATCTAACCCACAGCGAACCTACGCACAATGGAACAAAACTCTGCTCAGGCCTGCAGCATCCCCAGAATCAGCTGCTGGTAGGGCTGTTGTGACCCACAGAGCTTTCACTGGTGGAGTTTGGGAAGTGGTTGCCAGGTCTTTCTTCCTAGTTTTAGTCTAGGAGTTCCACTACAACCTGTTTAGCACCGTAGCAACCACCCAAGCCTCCGCTGACAGATGGGTGGTGGCTACACGAGGTGCACTGGCTCGGAATCGAACCTGCGTCTCCTCCACGGAAACTGAGAATTCTACCAGTGAGCTACCAATGCCTCATGTCATATCCAGTCATTTGTTTTTGTCTGTCTTCCCTACTAGACTACTCACTCCTGGAGGGCAGGTGTTCTGCCCTGTTCACCAGCTTCTACCTGGTGTCGGTGGACAACTAAAGCTTAGTATCTGAATGAATGAAATGAATAGAGCAATGAATGAATGAATGAATGGTCATTTGGTAATGGCCCTCAAAACTCCCAAAGCATGGACACTCTGACCCACCGACTCCACTTAAACAAGGTATTCTACTGATCATACTGTTCATATACATGTAATCAGATGTACAAAGACAGTAACTGCAGCAAATGTTTGTAATAGGCAAAGTTCAAAAACAGCCTAAATGCCCATAGCCTGGGGAATGGTTAAATAAAGCATAATACAGCCACACATCGGTGTACTGTGCAGCCAAGAAAAAGAAAAGGCGGCTCTCTGGGTGCCTGACCACATCACTGACTCACCACCAGGCAGGCTGCCCGGTGCAAGGAAAAAATGTGGGTTCGCCCTGGAGTGACACAGACTTGGGTTTGAATCCAGGCCCTGCTGCTTCCTGTCTGTTGGGCGTTTCAGACGCATTTTCTGCATCAGTTCAAAGAGGGAAGGAGACGACTGTGGTGGGGCCCAGAAAGCAGAGAACACAGGGCCTGGTACACAGTGGGCCATGGTCAATGCCAGTCCTCTTCTGTCCCCTTTCTGAAGTCGTTTCCACTTGAATGGTGGGTGCCCAGGTGTGAGATAGGTATGGAGGGTGGTCTGGAGTTGAGATTCAGATAAGGAGAACAGACCTGGCCTGAGATGGAGGTGCTAAGGGACTCTGACAGACACGACACAGAGATGGCCTATCCCAAGTATCTGCTAGTTAAATACCTACAATCTTCTGGAGAGCTGATAAACAAGAGAACTCATTGTGACTGGTGTTCTCATCCAGCCTGTGGCAGCCTGGAAGCTCCCTGGGTGGCACAGCTTGCACTTGACTAAGCTAAAAGGTTGGTGGTTCGAACCCACTCTGTGGCATCACAAAATAAAGTCTGGTGATCTGTCTGTCTCTATGAAGATGACAGCCAAGAAAACTCTATGGAGGAGTCCTACTGTCATACAAGGTCATGGTGAGTCAGAATTGACTCAATAGCGACGGGTTACACCTACCATTCAGTGACTCTGATTACACTTCTCATGGTGTGCCACCATTCTCATTCTGGTTGTTCCCTTTCCATTGATCTAGCTTCCCTGTCGTCCCCCCCCCCTTACCTTCTCAGCTTTGCTTTAGGGCAAATGTTGACTGGATGGCAACTTTTTTTTTTCCCGGTGGCAGCCTGGAGAAATGGTTCTTCCAGGCACTGGTAGAGGGAATATGGCAGCTGGGATGAAGCCTGGAGGGGAGGGAGCAGCTAAGAATCAACTGCCACCATCATCGTCATCACACATCTCAAAATAAGGACAATCCATTATGCACCAGGCACTGTTCATACACTTAACCCTGCTGGCAATACTGTGAAGTGTCATCATCCCTATTTTACAAATGAGGCTGTAGAGGAGAGGGTTAAAGACATTGGCCAAGGTCAGGCTGCTTTGTGAACCCAGGCACATGCTCTTAACTCCAATGTTTTGCTTAACAAGAGCTCCAGAAGGAAGCCGTTGAGCTGGCCCTGGCCTAGCCTCATGGTGACCCCACGCACAGTGGGATCAGATTAGTGGGATCAGATCACGTGATCCACAGGGTTTTCACTTGGTGATTTTCAGAAGTACACTGTCAGGCCTTTTTTCCTATTCCATCTTTGTCTGGAAGCTCTTCTGAAGCCTGTTCAGCAGTATAATGACACCTAAACCCCCACTGATGGGACAGATACTGGCGCGTAGGGAATGCTTTTGCCAGGAATCGAACCTAGGTCTTCTGCAAGGAGGGCGAGAATTTACCAGTGAATCACCACTGCCTTCTATGTTGTTGTTGTTGTCGCTATATGTGGTCAAGGTGGACCCGACTCACAGCAACCCCTTTGGGTTTCTGAGGGGGTATCACTATGGAAGTAGATTGCCCAACCTTCCTTCCAAGGAGTGGCTGGTAGGTTTGAACCACCAGCCCTCTGGTTAGCAGTCAAGTGCCTTAGGCACTATGCTACCAGAGCTCCTGCACACATTATCAAAATTCATTGCCATCTAGTTTATTCTGACTTACAGTGACCCTTTAGGACAAGTAACTACCCCATAGAGTTTCCAAAATGGTAAATCTTTACAGAAACAGAATGTCACATTTTTCTCCCACAGAGTGGCTGGTTGGTTCAAACCAATGACATTTCAGGTAGCAGCCCACTGGGAGCTTAGTCACTGAACCGCTAGGGCTCCTTTATGTATTACCTATTCAAAAATAATTTTTAAAATGAAATTCAGACTTAAAGTAGGAAATCTTCCATTCCCCTACATATCTACAAACAAGTGTGGGGGGGGGGGACGGACGGAGGGGACAGGGTTATTTCTCTCTTTTCTTGAAAAAGTATTTAAATTCCTCCTGGAAATCACTCTCAGTAGGGCATATTCTCCGTCGTTTTCCTCTTTGGCGCGAACAGAGCTCAGCCTGCAGGCGTTTAAATTTTTGACCGGTTTGCAAAGAATTTAATAGGTGTTTCTGCTCCCAGACAAGGAGCCCTCCTGGCCTGGAGCTCTCGGCTCCACGGGAGAAAGATGAAGCAGTCTCCTTCCATAAAGATTACAACCTAGGTAACCCTGTGGGGCAGTTCTATTCTGTCCTATTGGGTCGCTAAGAGTTGGAATCGACTCAATAGCAGTGAGGTTTTGGTTTCTGCTCCGACAGTCTGCCTTACCATTGCCTTTAGAATAGAGGCTCTTAGAATCTCTGCTCTCTGCCGCTTAACTTCCCACCGCGGGAGGACCCTGAGTCAAACCAGTCTGGACCTTTCTCTAAGGCTCCTCTCAGGCTCAGGTGCCTCTGCTTGGCTATTACCTCCACCTGGAGTGCCCTTGTCAGTATTTCAGGGTCGAGCCAGACCCACGCCCTAACGTATGTGCTTTGATCTTCTGGCCGCCTCCCTCCAAAGACCGGGCGAAATCTTTTTCTACCTCAAGTCTGATTCTTGCCTGTGTTCTCGGTACTCACTCAGCACAGGACACTGAGATTCCTCTCTGCTGTCCCACCCCCACTGCATCCCGCAAACAACACTGAGAGGGCAGGAGTCGAACACGAAATCTCATAAGCCCCCTCTTTCCTCTGCCCCGCAAGCCGCCGAAGTGCTTGCGCACCGAGCGGAATCGACGCAACCTGCCTCCGCCCCTCGGTAATCCGCACGCGCGCTGAGGCCAACCGCCTCCATCCACGCATGCTCCGCTTTACGCTCACGTTGGTTCTCTCACGCCCAGCTCGCAGCGCATGCGCAAGGCCAGCAGGCGGTGGGACTTGATCTCCGCCTGGCCCCACCATACCGCCTGCACCTTCTCTTTCTCTTTCGGGCCAGCCATTCTTAGGTGCCGCTTCCGGGACGCCGAGACCGAATTTGGAGTGCTGGCTGACAGCACTCCTTTCTCTCCCACGCTTCCGTCCCCCTGCCGCCATTTACCGGCCGCACCTCCCCGTTCCATCCACACCCACCTCCGCCGCACCCCAGCAACCACTCCACAGTCGCTCTAGGTAAGGGGCCTGCGTGCCCGCGGAGGAGCACGCACCGTCGGGGGGCGGGGCACGTCGTCGAGGCCCCGCCCCAGTGTCGACCGTTAAACGGTTGCTCTACCTTGCCTCGGCGAGTTTGAGGAACTGAGTAGGGAGCCAGGGTCGTCATGTCATTCGTCCCCGGTGTGGCGAATGGCGAGGAGGTAAATAATGTGTAAATAGAACTTAGAGTCTGTGAGTACCTTCCGAGAGGGCCTGTAAACTGGCCGTAAAGTGCTGGGGCGGGCCATTCCTATAATGGATAAAGAGAATCTTAAGTTACGGGGGTACCCTAAATAGGCGGCCTGTAGCCAGACCCTTAAACACTGGGATGTTCTCCAGATGGTGTGTAAATGGAAATATTGTGAGGTCTCCCATAGAGGCCTGTAAGCAACTTCCTAATTACTGGCCAAGCCCCCCCCCCCCGCGTTGTTGTTGTTGTTATGTGCCGTCGAGTCGGACCGGACTCATAGTGACCCCTCCTTGGGTTTCCAAGGCAGTATCACTACGGAAGTAGATTGCCCCATCTTCCTTCCGAGGAGTGACTGGTGGGTTTGAACCGCCAGCCTTCTGGTTAGCAGCCAAGTGCCTTAGCCACTATGCTACCAGAGCTCCCAACGCGTAGTAGACTGAAATTCTAGGAAAGGCCCCATATAGAAGCCTGTAAATAAATGTTGAAGAATTGAGGAGTTGAAGAAAAATGTATAAACAGACTCTTAAGGTTTTTTGTTTTTATTTTTTGCCAAGAGGGGAAAGGAAAGTTCCTCTTCGTGTGGGGCATAAACATAGAGAATTAGGAATTGGGAACCAAAAACATCCAAACTCATTGCCATCTAGTCAATTCCGACTCATAGTGACCCCCATTGGGTTTCTCAGGCTGTTACTGAGGTAGATTCCCCCGTCTTCCTTCCGCGGAGCAGGTGGTGAGTTTGAACCACTGACCTTCTGGTTAGCAGTCAAATACCCACTGCGCCACCAGAACTCCTAGGAATTGGCAAAGTCTTCTCAAATAATTTGCTGGTAGGCACTTAGGTTCTGGGAGTTCCCCATTGGGCATGTGTGAAGAAGTGCTTAAGATTTGAGGAAGCACCCCCCTCACCCCCGCCAAGAATGTGTAATCAAAAACAAAAACAACCAAACTCACTGCTCCCCAAGTCGATTCCAACTCATAGTGACCACTCCTTGAGTTTCTGAGGCAGTTTTTCTACAGAAGTAGATTGCCCAGTCTTCCTTCCAAGGAGTGGCTGGTGGTTTCGAACCACCAGCCTCTGGTTAGCAGTCAGATGCCTTAGGCACTATACCACCAGAACCCTTAAACTCAACTCACTGCTTTCAAGTTGGATTTGACTCATAGCAACCCTTCCTTGGGTTTCCGAGGTGATAGCACTATGGGAGTAGATTGCCCAGGCTTCCATCTGTGGAGTGGCTGGTGGGTTTGAACCGCCAGCCTTCTCATTAGCAGTCAGATGCCTTAGGCACTGTG